TGGGGTCGGAGACTGCTCGCTGCTGGGAACCAGACCCCGCGTCCGCTCCGTGCTCAAGGCCTCCCCTCGGCGCGATCCCCATCCCACGGGCTCCTCCGTTCTGCTGCGCCCCTAGCCCCGGCCCCTCCACGCTGCCCATCCTTTAGCTTCTTCCCACAGAGCCTGATTCCGGGCCGTGTCACCCACCCCCTCGCTGGTTCAACCCTTCCCCGCCCCCGCTCGGCCGCTGCCTTCACCCCCTTCTTCTGTACGGACTCCCCTCTCCCCCTCGGCTTCTATCGCTCAGAACCGCAATCCGTGCAGCTCATCTCCGCACCCGACCGCCTCGCAGCCTGTGCCGTCCCACAGGTGTCCGCACGTACGGCCTTCCATCCGTCCGTCCTTCTTGGGGCCGGCGCTGACCATGCCCAGCGGCTGCCGCTGCCTGCATCTCATGTGCCTGCTGTGCGTCCTGGGGGCACCGGTTCTGCATGCCGTAGGTGAGCGCACCCCGGACGCAGGTCGCGGCCCTCTCCCGACGTCCCCCGCTTGCACGTTGACCTCTGCCGGCCAGAGACGGCACTGCAGCCGCTCGGACCCGCGGGGTCGGTGAGACCCAAGTCATCCCTTGGACGAGTGTCTTTTCGGCCCGGCCCCAGAGCTGAGCCCACCCAATTACTGGGGCCCCTCACCCTCCCCAGCCCAGCATCTCAGGGAGCCCAACCCGGACCCGGGCTCACCCCTCCCACCTCAATCTCTTGCAGCCGATGACTGCAGCTCCCACTGTGACCTGACCCACGGCTGCTGTGCGCCTGACGGCTCCTGCAGGTACCTCTGAGCACGTGCTCCTAAACCCTTTGCTCCTCTTTTCCCAGCCCTTCACACCCATAACCAGGTCAAGCCCCAGGGCAGTGTGTCTAGGCCCTAGACTCTAGGGGCTTAAGACTCTACTGTTCCCTCCCCATCCCCCCACGGCACACAGGGCGGATTGGCCGCCCCCCCCCCACTCCCCTTTGCCTTGACTCTTCCTTCTTCCAGCTTATGCCTCCCCGCTGTTTTACTCTCCCAAATCTGACCCAGGAATTCTGTAACATTCCTCCTCAAGACCCGGAGAAAGGCCTGGAGCTTGAGACCGTCTGGAGAGTGGGAGCCTGGAGGAAAGGGAGAGATAGGCAAGATATAAAGAGAATTGGTTTGGCCTATAAAAGAAAGGCTGCTGGGCGGGTTGCCGGGGAGATCTTATGGAAGAGAATCTTTCTTGATGGATTTGAGTAATTGACTCACTGGAGTTGGGGTGGGGCAAATCCAATAGCTGGAGGGAAATGTGTCTGGATGGACATGAGGAAATGACCTGTCAGGGCAAGCTGCTGGAGGGGCCGGGGGTTTTTCGGACTCAAGGATGGAAGGCTGTTTTAAAAAAAATAGGTCAGGCCCTGGCGGCGTGCTCAGTGGTTAGAGTGCAGGCCTGCCGGAGAGTCATGGGTTCAATTCCTAGTCAAGGGCACATACCTGGGTTGCAGGTTTGATCCCTGGCCCCCATCGGATCCTGTGTGGGAGGAAACGAATCGATGTGTTTATGTCACATCAATGTTTCTCTCTCCCCCTCTCCCCCCTTCCTTCCACTCTCTCTAAAAGTCAATGGAAAAATATCCTCACTCCTTGGGTGAGGATTAAAAAACAACAACATACCTGGCCGGTTTGGCTCAGTGGATAGAGCGTCGGCCTGCAGACTGAAGGGTCCCGGGTTCGATTCCAGTCAAGGGCATGTACCTCGGTTGCGGGCACATCCCCCAGCCGGGGGCGTGCAGGAGGCAGCTGATTGATGTTTCTCTCTCATCAATGTTTCTAACTCTCTATCCCTCTCCCTTCCTCTCTGTAAAAAAAATTAACAAAAACAAAACAAAAACACAGGTCAGGCTTTTGCCCTGGAATCAAGGGCACTCTTTAAAAAACAACTCACATTTCTGAGTCTCAGATATGCCAGGACTGACACTGGGAGTATTTACAATCATCGTAGCTTCTTCCTCAACACATCCCTGGAAAGTGCATTCCCAATTTACAGATCAGGAAACGAAGGCTCATAAGGATTAGACAAAGTGCAGAACCAAGACTTGAATGCTGGTGTCAGATGATCTGCACAGCCCACACCTATCTTGATGAGCCTGCTTCCCTTGGGGACTGTCATGTCTTCTTGTTTTCGAGATGCTCTGGTCTTGCCTCCACTTCCTCACATCCCCCACCCAGAGCCCTGACCCTGTGCTTCTCCCCATCAGGTGTGACCCAGGCTGGGAGGGGCTGCACTGTGAGCGCTGTGTGAGGATGCCTGGCTGCCAGCATGGTTCCTGCCACCAGCCCTGGCAGTGCATCTGTCATGGTGGCTGGGCGGGCAAGTTCTGTGACAAAGGTAGGGGAGTAGTCTGGAGACCGACCCCATGTGTCTTGGGAGAACATCCACTCCTATTTATTGTGTCCAGCCCCCAAACTCAAATACACAGCATTTGATCATTTTAGACTTCATACCTATCTGCTGTCTGAATTGGCCCTTAACCTAACCCCATGAGATAGGCAAGGCAGCTGTGGAAAATGGTACTCATTTTACAGATGAGCAAATTGAGACTCATAGATGAGCTACAACTTGCTTGAAGTCACTGAGACAGACTGACATTGCCAGGGCTAGGAGCCTCCTGGTTCCGAATTCAGTGTTGTTTCTCCACCATACATACCAGCTGGGGTGGGGGGTGGGGGTTGCAGTATGAGCTGCACCCACAGAGCCTTAGGTGGGGCCTGGGGAGGTCTGGGTGCCAGATGTAAGGGGCTATCCCAGAACCTTCTCTGTCTCCTCTGTAGATGAGCACATCTGTACCACGCAGTCCCCCTGCCGGAATGGAGGCCAGTGCGTATATGATGGGGGCGGCGAGTACCACTGTGTGTGCCCACCAGGCTTCCACGGACGGGACTGTGAGCGCAAGACTGGACCCTGTGAGCAGGCAGGGTGAGTATGGCCCCGTGGGGTGAGTTCAAGGTTAGGTGAGAACTGGTGACGGAAGGAGGCAGGACTGTTGGGAGGCTGGTGATGAAGTAACAGGGCTGAGGGTCAGAAGCCCCACTGAGGGCACCGGAGGATAAAACCCCAGCTTGCCAGTGTCCGTAGTTCCGGGTTTCTCAGCTTTTTTATACCATCTGGGCCATTTCTTCCACAAAAATCTACAGGAACTGGAGATGTAACAGATCAATGTGTGATTGCTCTGGCTGTTGGTGGTGGTGGTGGGGGGGGGTTGAAGACCTAGGACTCCCCTCATCCTCCCAGGAAAGCTTCCCCTGTGGCCCCTAAGGATGTTCTAGCAGCAGCTTTAGCCTCATGTGTGCCTGAGGAAATGGGCCTGTAGGGCGGGGCCTGCCCTCATTTCTGTGTCAGGCCTAAGAGCCTTGCCTCTGGGCCAGGCCCCATGCTAACTGCTTGACGTTGGGTTATCTCATTTAACCCTCACAATGTGGAAGCTGGATGCTACTTCCATTCCCATTTTTAAAAGGAGATATTGGAGGCTCGGAATGTGACTCAGGGTGACATTGCTGGGAGGGGGGTGGGCGGCAGTGGTCAGGATGCTGACCTAGGCTACCCTGCAGGTGTGAGTCCGTATCAAAGCCCTCTCCCACCTCCACCCCAGCTCCCCGTGCCAGAATGGCGGCCAGTGCCAGGACGACCAGGGCTTTGCCCTCAACTTCACGTGCCGCTGCTTGGCAGGCTTTGTGGGTGCCCGCTGTGAGGTGAATGTGGACGACTGTCTGATGCGGCCTTGTGCTAACGGCGCCACCTGTCTGGATGGCATAAACCGCTTCTCCTGCCTCTGCCCCGAGGGCTTTGCTGGACGCTTCTGCACCATCAACCTGGATGACTGTGCCAGCCGCCCATGCCAGAGGGGGGCCCGCTGTCGGGACCGGGTCCATGACTTCGACTGTCTCTGTCCCAGCGGCTATGGCGGCAAGACTTGTGAGCTCGTCTTACCCGGCCCAGCCCCTGCCACCATGGCAGACATACCCCTGGGGCCCACCTCGTCCATGGTGGTGCCTGCCACGGGGCCTGTCCCCCACAGCGCAGGGGCTGGTCTGCTGCGCATCTCAGTGAAGGAGGTGGTGCGTAGGCAAGAGGCCAGGCTGGGTGAGTCTAGCCTGGTGGCCGTGGTGGTGTTCGGGGCCCTCACTGCCACCCTGGTCCTGTCCACGGTGTTGCTGACCCTGAGGGCCTGGCGCCGGGGTGTCTGTCCCCCCGGACCCTGTTGCTACTCTGCACCGCACTACGCCCCAGCTCGCCAGGACCAAGAATGTCAGGTCAGCATGCTGCCTGCAGGGCTCCCCCTGCCACCTGACCTGCCCCCTGAGCCTGGAAAGACCACGGCACTGTGATGGCGGTGGGGCTTTTGTGCCGCCTCCACCTCCTCTGTCCTTCAGACTGGAATGGTCCTCACTTGCCACCCCTCAGCAGCTTCACACAAGAAATATTATTTTTTTAATACACAGAATGTAAGATGGGAATCTTATTCAATAAAACTATGAAGTTATAAGTGGACTCCTTTTCCAGAAAAACCTGCCTGGCGTCACTGACGAGGGCTGAGCAGAGGCCTGTTTCTGGGGAACCCTTGGGGCTTTGCCTTAAGCCTGGTTCTCAGAGAGGAACCCATGACACCTCCCCCCGGGAGAGTGCCAGTGAGGTAGAGCCATGGAGGAGAATGTAAACAAACAGCTCTGCAGCCACCCAGCAGAGGGCGAGACAGGGGGGTGGGGTCCTCAGGGGGAGGAGTGGGCTCCCTGCTGGCTGCTCTGCAGCAGCTGCTGGAACAGGGAGTGAGGCTGGTTGCGCAGGACGGCAGGGGAGTCCAGCTCCACGACCCTCCCAGCTTGCAGCACCAGCACCCGATCAGAGTTCAGGATGGTGTTGAGCCTGTGTGAGAGGAGGTGGTCAGTGGAGGATGGAGGGCAGTACCGTAAAGCAGCGGTCACCAACTGGTGGTCCATGAGGTCCGAAAGGTTGGCGACCGCTGCCCTCAACCAGGAAGCTGACCCACATTCCCTCCTCTCCTCCCCTAGACAGCACAGTTCTGCCCCAGGCTTTACCCCGGCTCTGTGCTGGGGACCACAGATGCCTTCAGACAATGTGCTATGAGAATGAGGAGCTGAGGTTCATGGAAGTTTGGACTCTCTAGGACTCTGACCCCTGGGGTCCCTGACACTATGTCCCCTGATTGGAGTCTCATGCCGGATGCTTGCACACCTGTGGGCAATGGTTAGCACTGTCTTGTTGGCGAAGCGTTTGCAGATGGTCTGCTGGAGCAGCTGGTCTGTTTTCTGGTCTACACTTGCCGTGGCCTCATCAATGCACAGGATCTGGGCCATGTGGAGGGGGTGGGCAGGAGGACAGAGAAGAGGGTTAGTCTTGGCTCCTGTCCAAGCACCAGCCCCCGCCTTCTGGCAGGGCCCAGCGCAGCCCAGACCAGCCCACAGCTCCCCACCTCCAGCTCTAAAAGAAAAACTAACTTGGTCCTCTGAGACTTCTCCCTACTCACTCCCTCACCCCTCACATGCCCCTGCCTTCTTCCCGGCCCTCTCGAATGTCTCCTCCTCTCACCTTACCTTGGCATCTGTGAGGAGAGCCCTGGCCAGACACAGCAGCTGCCTCTGCCCCAGGGATAAGCTCCGGCCCCCCTCGCCCAGCTCACCATCCAGACCACCTGCAAGGCACAGCATCGTCACCCCGGGTCCTAGGTCTCTCTCTGCCCCCTCCCTGCTCCCTCCTCCTCCACCCTGCAGGCTCGGGCCTGGTACTCACCCATGGACCCGATCACCTCACTCAGGTGGCACTGCTCCAGAGCCTGCCACAGGGCCCTGTCCTCATACAGGCCCCGGGGGTCCAGGTTCTCCCGGACAGTCCCACTGAACAAAAAGGGCTCCTGGGGGATGATAGCCAGCTGGGACCTGGGGGACAAGGAGGGACATGGGTCTAGGCTGGAGATGTGGTCACTTCTGCGCCCAGCACAGGTTTTAGCTATACATCTACACCTCCAGAGAAGCTTGGGGAGGAGCCCTGAACATAACCCTCACTCAGCTCCCCCGCTGTTCAGCGTGTTCCCAGAACCGTGCAGGTGCCATGAGGGACACGAGAGAAACCAAAGGCCCACACTCTGCCCTTCAGGAGCTTCCATCTCACTACGCTACAAAACAAGAGTGGGGTAGCGGTGTGGCACTGACTCCAGCAGTCACTGCGACAGCCGTGGTGGCGAGGAATGAGTAGAGAGTCTGAATGGTAGGGAGGGGATGCGTCAAGATTGGAGGGCCTGGAATTGGGTCCTGAGGAGCCATATGGTGGAGCTATAATGCAAGGCCACCACAAGTTAGAAGAGAAGGTGAAGGCAGGAAAGGCAGGGCCAGGGCCAGGGATCAATAATAGGCTTTGGAACAGAGCTCCCCTACCTTTTCCACATCAGAGAAAATGACACTAGGCTAACCTGGGGCTGGTGGGGGGAGTTGTTTAGCACCAGATGTGGCCTCTTGTTGCCAGGGGCAACTGGCCCAGGTCTCGAGTGCCCTGGGCATCACCTGCCAAGCCTGAGGGCCGAGAGGATGACTATCTTGGGCGCAGCACCGGGAGGCTCTGACTCAGGACGCAGTGATCATTGATCTAGAGTGCAAGGTGTATGCTGGGAAGTACAAGAAAGATGAAGCTGGAAAGGTGGGCCTGGGTCAGATTAAAGACCTGAGACCACAGCTACATCCCTGGACCTGAGGGTAGCGAGCACTGGGAGCTCGCCAACCTTGCCTGCTGCCTGCCTTCTCCCCACAATCGACCCTGCTGCCCCGAGTCTATGGGAAGCCTTTCGGCTAGGCTTCCTCTATGTGCCAGAAGTCTGGTTCTCCTCTCCTCGCTCCCCCAGACCTGAGCTCGGCCAGCGCCAGCTGGCTGGTGTCCACTCCGTCCAGGAGCACTCGCCCCGAACTGGGCTCCAGCAGCCGGAAGAGCACTGACAGCAGGGACGACTTTCCAGAGCCCGTGCGGCCCACGATGCCCAGCTTCTCTCCGGGCTGCACGCAGAAGGTCACCCCATCCAGGGCATTTGGCAGCCCTGGCCGGTACACCAACACCACATCCTGGAACTCCACGCTCCCCTGCGTCAGCCAGCCAGTGCCTAGCTGGTGGGGTTCGTGGGTGGGAGGTGGAGGAGACGGGTGAGACGGGAGACATGGGGAGAAGGGGGGTTGGAGAGTGGAAGGAGGGGGAATGAGAAATGGATGGCGTGAGAGGAAGTTGGGGGAAATGAGGACACGTGAAGGAGAGATGGGAGAAAAGGAGAAATGGATGGTGTGAGAGAGAAGGTGGGGGAAATGAGGACACGTGAAGGAGAGATGGGAGAACAGACACAAGATGAGGGACACAGTGAAGGAAGGGGAGATTGTGCGGGGACATTGGAGGAGCTGAGAAAGATGGCGAGGAGTGAAAGGAAAGGAACTTGGGGAATGACTGGGGCCGTTGGGAGGGTCCTTCAGGGTCCCAGTGCCCAGGCCTGGGGCACAGGTGCAGGCCTACCTGCCTCGGATGGCCCTGGGGCTCCTGGGGTAGGTCGCAGGAGTACTCCTCCAGCCGCTCGACGCTCACCAGCATGGTTTCTGTCTGCGTGAAGCTGCTCACCAGGCCCGAGAGCAGCCCCGTCAGGGACAGGGCATACGACAGAGACAGGCCCACCAGTCCTGGCAGGAGAGGAACACCAGGCACTAGGGGAGGCTTGGTGAGGAGGACTGAGGCCGAACGGGAGAATCTCAAGCTGCGGACTGCGGGCATTGAAAGGAGGCCGCAGAGAAGCAGGAAGATGCCAGCAGCAGACCCAGGGCCACAGGACGCCAGATGCCAGGCAGTGGAGTGGGTCCGCAGAGGCTCTGAGGGAGGACGGGGGGCCTGGCAGAGGGCTGGGGATGGGGGGAGCAGGGCAGGGGCAGAGATCAGAAGACTGGTTCTAGTACCAGATCCAGCATCACCTGGGAAAGTCACTTCTTGAGACTCAGTGTCCTCAACTCTAAAATAAGGGGCAGGAGAATTAGGACACATACTCACAGGGACCCTGAGTGGCAGGTGAAAACGCTGGGGGGCGGTGCAGGGAGAGGGAAGGTGGGGGAAATGGGGCAGGGGATGGGAGTCGAATGCCTCTGAGGTGAGTGAAGGCTCCCGGGTGGTACCTGGGTTGGCGAGGCCCTGCTGGTGCTGCACCAGGGCGATGCCTGCGATGGCACTGACCACTGCGGCCCCCATGAGCTGTAGCCGAATGTCCAGCCACTGCATGGTGGCACTGGAAGCAAACTGGCACCTCTGGTTTAGCTCCAGGAGCCTCTGGTTCTTCTCCTCAAACCTGGGGGAGGTCAGGGGGGGAGCAAGACCACCCACTGTTGCAATCACTTGCCCAGACTCCCCCACAGAACGCCTTCTTCTTGGAGCTGATCAGCACCCCCACAGGCCTCCCTGAGGGTACGGAGAAGTCAGTGTGTTCTGTCACAGGGAGTCTGCCTCACTAGCCCTTTTTTCTGTCTCTTTCCTCTTTCCCTTAGTGCCTTCACCCACCCTTCCCTTCTCAGGAGACCTGAAGCCACTCTCTCCCATGTGCTTTTCTTCTTAAGGGGGATCCTCTGCCCCCTCCCCCCAGCACCTCACACTCTTGCTCTGGTTGGGAGAGGCAGACTCCACACACCTGTCAGTGGCCCCGCAGGCCCGGAGCACTGGGAGGCCGGCCAAGGTGTCGGCCAGGTGGGTGTAGAGTGGAGACAGGGTGAGGCTGCCCAGACGCCGCAGCTCCCGCGAGGAAGCCCTGTAATGGCGCTGCACGCGGTAGTAGATGACGCTCAAAGGCGGCAGCAGCAGCAGCAGCCAGGGCAGGCCGGCGCCCAGCACAGCCAGGAGGCCCAGCAGGCCTGCTGCGTTGGCCAGGAGGATGTTGAGGATGAAGGGCAGGCTGTCGTCCACACAGGCCACGTCAGAGGAGAAGCGGTTTAGGACCCGGCCCATAGGCGTGGAGTCGAAGAACGTGACGGGTGCCTGGGAGAAGGGAGGTGGTTGAGCAAGGGCAGGGTCTGGCACAAAAGGGGTTGGGGACCACCCTGGGGGTGGTGGGGTGCGGAAGGTCCAAGGTAGAGAATTGGAAGGAAGTAAAGTGTCTCCAGAGTTTGGGAGCAGAAAGGAGGAACAGGTGGGGCCAGGAGGAAGACTATCGCAGGGTAGAAAGGATAGAGACTGTCCCTCTGGCCAGTGGTGACCCTGAAAGGCCATGCTGGCCACTCTTCTACCCCTGTGCTAGACATGCCTACGTCCCTCTCCAGAATATGGGGACTTCAGGCCAGTGAGTGAGCTTCAGTTAGATGTCAGGAGGAACATCCTGATCGCCAGGGCTGGACAGAGTGGTGAGGTCAGTGGTCCAAGTCAGTACTGTCTCATGGTAGCATTCAGGCTCTGGAGTCAGACTGCGGCTGGGATTCCAGCTCTGCCAATTAGATGTGAAACCCCTCAATCTCTTAAAGGCCCCTGTTCCTC